CAGACAGACACAGACAGACGCAGACAGACACAGACAGACGCAGACAGACACAGACAGACACAGACACAGACAGAGACACAGACACAGACAGAGACACAGACAGAGACACAGACACAGACACAGAGAGAGACAGACAGAGAGAGAGACAGAGAGAGAGAGTAGGTGATCAGGCATTGAACAAACCTGGATCCCTCAACAGGCCAATCCATCCAACTCTAGCAGGAAAGTGGGGGATGGCCCCCCCCAAAAGAATCAAAAGGATTGTCCGCAACAAATTGGGTCTGTTCAGCTTGCATGTTCTTTCCACACCACTTGAACCCGTGCGCCTACCTGCTCAACGCCATCAGGCTGTGCAGAGGTCTAAGCGCGCAGCGCGGCGTCCAGACGAAGCGCGGATGCGCGGAGGAACGAGGTGGGACGGGTTCCGGACGAGTTCCGAAGACATGTTGGATCGTCATGCTGAGCTACGTCTCACGTGCTGGTTGGTTGAGTGGAGTGTTCTTGGGCAAACAACCGTCAGCGAGTGGAGTGGGAAGGACTCAGCCCCTCTTCAGGGAGCGACGAGAAACGATGCCAGGCGTGAAGATTGGAAGCTGAAGACTCCGCGAGGGTGTCGGAGAAAAAAGCGCCCTGCGGGGGTCCGGAAACATGCTCTGGAGAAGGCCCAACAAGATGAAGCAGAAGACATCACATAGTACAAACAGCTTAGCCTCAGGGCGTGAGGGTTTTCATGGCCAGATGGAGGGTCTCGTTTCTGAGAGATTTGAGAGTGAAAACAAGAGAGACTAAAATAGCATCGGACACGTGAGACTTGGGTGGTAGAGGAAAATAGTCGTCCAAAGGTCCATTTTGAGGTTCCATGTGGGTCTCCTCCCGGGTGTAGTCCTTTTGTCAAACTGGCTGACCTGCAAGTAACAGTAGTACCAGCCAGAGGTGTTATCTTGGAACCATGAGAGCCCCTGCAACTTTTGAGACATGTGTTGATTTCGAAACGGTTTTACCATAATGGCAGGCATGTGAAAAGGTTCCAAACTGCTCCAAAAGGTCAATTCAGGTTCTTCTTTCACGACTTGAGGTGACCACTTGACTTGTGTTTTCCTTTGTTCAGGGTGCCTGGAAGGAATTGGCTTGGACGGTGAAATCGCCTGTGCTCCAGGCTAGGAGCAGGAGGTTCCTAGCACGCATCCAGTTTCTCCCCGAGGTCCGCGGCCGGTACGGCATTGCCGACTTGGTGGCCGAAACGCAGGTGGATTGGATCGAGGATCGATGGTTTGTTTCGGCTCGGGACTTCCCTTGCTACTAGTAATTCGTTTCTTGTTACGGACGTAGCGATGGCCTCCAAGCAGCGATGACCTCCACCGTGCGTAGCTTCTTGTTCCTTGATTGCTTGAAAAAAGGGGTTTAGGATTTTGATGGATGTTGGAAAGAGGAGGAACTGGCTGTCTTTTTCAGACTCGTCTTAATGCGCTTCCATGACATTCCATTGTTTGGCAATTCTTTCTTTAATACGAACCGAACCGTCTAATGTATCGATGTGACATCGAACATTGCGTTTCAGCACCTAAGAGACCTTGAAAGGTCGTGTGTCCCAGATCGTCCACGGATTCCATGGATCCTCCATGGGTTCCGAACACGGAACCGGATCTCCAACGGCTGGGTGGGTTGAGAAACGCTGGACGTCTTGGCTAGGTGAAGTCCATGGCAGATCAGCCCTTGACAGTCTCCACCACTGGCAGCCTGAAGAGCCACGATCGCCAGGCGGGGGCGGCAGCCTGGAGATCGCCCTGGGTTCCTGGGAACTCGTCTGGGAAGAACGTGAGGAACGTGAGGAGACCAGCATGGAGATCCATGGAGTACCCCAGAAAGTCATCCTTTCGGTGGGTGCGATGGAGGAAGATGGGCCTGAGAAGGAGAAGGAGGGATACGGAGAGGCTTTGTGGCTTTCATTTCAAGAAGCCACTAGCGGAGGAGCCCAGGTGTTTGGATTGCAGTGCACCAACACAGATCCCTGCAAAGGATGCTTTTCGTCTTTCCAAGGGGTCCCCAACCTCTAAACAAATTTTTGGAAGTGGCATGCGTGTATTGGAACAGGGAGACCCCTGAAAGCCTGTAA